ATTATGTAACAGGGAGTTAATGACCTACAGGAATTCCTTCCTTCTGGCTGGAAGACGAAAGCTGGCTGCAGCGCGAACCGCCAACCTCAAGGAGGTCCAGGCGAAACAATCAATCAGCTGTTGCCAGAGCACATCCGACCAACCTTCCTTGAGCCATTCATTGCGGACAAAACGTGCAACAAGTTCTGAAACACAGGATCCAACACGAGGAGTCTGTTCCACATTATTCAAGTGTTGTAACGGTTGGCGCCCACTAGCCAAGAAGTTTAGAATTTGTTGCTTGATATGCTCACGCTCAGCTTGTGTCAAACTCTGCCAAATACGCGAGTCGAAAAGCACATTTTTGAGGTGAATCAAACCGATGAACTGACCGTCTATAGTGAGTTGCGTGGCATCTGCAGAACTGAATACTACTTTAGCCAAGGTAACATATACAGGATTTTTCGCCTCGTCATTTGTGGACGTCAGCAATAGCAGCTGTTGACCAGCTGTGACCACCAGATCCGGATCTTGAGAAGCCGCTTTGTTTAACAATTCTGTTAGTGTTTGCTCCATCCAATAAGCATAATAGACTTTTGACGTATTCTAGCTGAAAATAGAGGAAAACAATTACGGGGGATGAGACAGGTAGCCTAGAAACAAGTGTAGACGCACGGAGAGAGGGAATTCGTGTCTAATTATCCGCAGTCACTCTGTAGGGACCATCACCAACACTGTCATCAAAGGCAGAACAAACGTAGGAAATATTGGTGCTCAGCTGGCATACAACCGTGTAGAAAGAGCACCGCAGCAAGGAGTGAAAGGTTATAGCTCAGTAAAGAAATCGTCGTGTCTGTGGGGAAGGAGATAAAGAACACGGTGTTCACATCGCCATTTGGACAAGTTACTTGTCATATCCTGTGGAGACCTAATTACAAGCAGAGTCACGTGGACTCCAACCAGGAAAGCAGAAGAATCTCACAACTGTTTGGCAGTAGCTATTATTATTGTCTGTTTCCACGTCACAGTTTCTCTCCCAAAAATATATCGCCACAAGGAGTTCGCAGTGGAGAAAATGGATTTCTTTGGCAGGCGACTGTCCAAACACAGTACATGTTCCGATCGCCTTAACTGGGTGCCAGATGCAGCGTGGACGATCGTCGTAGGAAGGTTATTCCATGTATCAACTATCCAAAGTGAAAAAATTGTTGCCTAATAAAGGTGTGCGCTCTGAGCTCGAAAATCTTCTTACAATGTCCCCACCGTGTATCAGCTGGGTTAACGGTGAAAAAACTGTTGGACACACTCGATGAGGATTACGTCATTCCTGTGTCTTTAGTAGACAACTTGGATGCACCGTCACGAAGAGACTGGACTTTACCGTGGTGTGGCGGTTTGTGTATCTCAGTGACCCACTGAGCTATACTGAAGGTGTCCGCGCGACACTCACAGGTTGGTCCATGGGTAGAGGCCTGACGAACACAGTCTCCTGGCCCTCCAGATTGGGGGTTGGAACATATGGGGTGACGTGTTCCATAAAATGGTAAAATACTTGCATTTCCAGCCCAACACCGCTGCCTTGCGGTTGGGCTTTTGAGCCAAAGGCTTTGGTTGAGGACCCTAATCATCCTCCTGTCTAGGTGAGGGCACCTTGGCAGTATCCCAGCCCTCGTAAAACCATGACATTCACAACTAACAATACTCTCATACCACACCGGCCATCGCGTGGTCCATCAACCGAGTCGCTTTACTTGCTGCACACAGCAGGGTTGGTGATCGAAAACATGCTACTGCTGACGCCTCCCTTCTTACACTTTCACGTTTTCTGTTTTCACCCTCCCCCGCCCAAATTCGAACACTTTCTCCGCGGGTCCCAGCTCTAGGACTGACCGCTTTGCCCACCCTGCATCACATTCAGCTACAGCTTCTGCACGTCCGGATTCAGTTACAACCCAAAACACTTCGAAGTCTGTTCTCAAACCCCGAAAGCCTGTCTACTTAGCCACTTTCAATGTTCGCACACTGAAGCAAGCAGGTCAACAGATGGCTCTTGCGCGTACGCTGGATTCCCTCTGTATTGATGTATGTTGTCCGTCAGAAACAAGGACGATGGTAGCAGGTACTGTGATCGAACTGACCGACCCCCGCGCTCTTCCAGATTCCGGCTACGCACCTCTGTTGTTGCAGAGGCCGCTGCAGATGGGTATTCTAGGGTGGTTATTGTATTCAGTGAATGAGCGGGAGCGTCTCTGCTTGATTGGATACCCGTAGACAGTCGCCTCTGTGCGGTTCGTTTGGCAACATCGGTGAGAGAATCTAGAGGAAGTGAGGTTCATCGCACCTTGTTTATTGTTTCTCCTTACGCCCCAACTGACTGTGGCTCTGAATCTGCCAAGGACAGTTTCTATGACGCTCTAGGTGCCCTTCTACAACAGGCTAAAAGCTCATATATCGTTGTGGTTGCTGGTGATATGAACGCCCAGGTAGGTAGACTAAGCGCTGCTGAGGCCCGATTGGGTGGTCGTTTTGGTTTGGATACGAGACGCACGGATAACTGAGACCGCTTACTTCATATGTGTGCCGATCACAGACTGTTCCTTTGCAGTACGAATTTCTGGAACAGCGGAAATCGCTTGACAACGTGGTGCCCACCAACAAACTAGCCGAAACAAAGGGACCACATCGCCGTCAGTTATCGGTGGCGAGGGTCGATGACCGCCTGCCGCTCTTTCTGAAGCACTGGCGTGGACTCCGACCATGCACTTGTACGCTGCTGCTTTTCATTGTGCCTTTCAGGTGTACGCAAAACGCGCATACCTCGCTTAGTTATTGATAAGCCGGTGGACCCAGCTATCATAACCAGCTCCTCGAATGCCTGCCGGACGGTACAGTGTCGGATATAAACGGCCACTGGAAAAAAATATCCAGAGCGCTACTGAAAGTCGGAACGTCTGCTTGCGGTACAACCCAGCCAACCTCATCCAAGCATTAGATCACTGATAGGACCGTGTCTTTGTTGGAGATCCGGCGACAGATTCTACCTGGCCGCCACCACAACTCCACACGGCGCCAGGTGAAACTTAGTGTCCGCGCAGACCGGAAGCTTGACGGATCCGAAAGGCCAAAGAAATGGAAGATGCAAAGAATGCTGGAAACGTGCGCAAACTGTTCCACTTGATTCGTTTGACTGGTCCTCGGAAACCTCTTGTCAGCNGTGTCCGCGCAGACCGAGAAGCTTGGTGGACCCGAAAGTTCGAGGAAATGGAAGATGCAAAGAATGCTGGAAACGTGCACAAATTGTTCCACTTGATTCGTTTGACTGGTCCTCAGAAACCTCTTGTCAGCGAAATAATCAGGGACCAAAATGGCTCCCTGATATGCAGCAAAGCAGAACGTTTGGACCAATCGGCACAGTACTTCGAGCAGCAATTCAGCTGGCCATCTGCTATCTCTAATCCAGAAACCTGGCGTTCAACCGAAAGGTGGACAGTAAATATGGAGCCGCCTTTAGTCTCAGAAGTTTCAAATGTATTCCTCTACTCAAGCGTCAGCGTGTCGCTGGTCCTGACGAGCTTCCACCTGCTCTTTTCAAGGATGGCGGTGGTTTCCTCAGCCAGTGTCTGTCTAGCCTATTTGGGTCTATCTAGGTGAGGGAGACCGTCCCAGACAAGTGGGGTGGATCGATAGTGGTGCCTATTTTAAAAAAGGGTACTCACAGTGAATATATTAACCACAGAGGTGTTAGTTTGACCCCTGCCGTGACACTGTTTTCTGGCGCCACTGATTCTTCGTCGTCTTACGGTGGCACGCGAAGCCTTGACTCGTGAGAATCAAGCG